GAGATGACCAGAGACTGCGGACACAGTACAGGAGATGACCAGAGACTGCGGACACAGTACAGGGAGATGACCAGAGACTGCGGACACAGTACAGGGATGACCAGAGACTGCGGACACAGTACAGGGATGACCAGAGACTGCGGACACAGTACAGGGATGACCAGAGACTGCGGACACAGTACAGGGATGACCAGAGACTGCGGACACAGTACAGGGATGACCAGAGACTGCGGACACAGTACAGGGATGACCAGAGACTGCGGACACAGTACAGGGATGACCAGAGACTGCGGACAGCACAGGGATGACCAGAGACTGTGTGCATAGTACAGGGGATGACTGCTGACCTTTGGGGAGGGGGGGGAGCGGGTACCTGAATTTGACAGGTACCCGCTCCCACTTCCGCGGAGTTGTTCTTTCATCTTACCTGTTCCTCTATCCAGCCGCGCGCTGTCTTCCCGGCTTCTGTAATGGTGCTCGGCATGACAGCCGGTGCCCAGTGCGCATGAGCGAGAAGCACTTGCGCTTTGTGATTGGTCCGCGGCTTCTGGGATCTGTCATGTGTCCCAGGTGCCGCCTTACCATTCACAAAAAGCACCGCTTCCTGCGCATGCGCACTTGGCACCCGGCTGTCATGCCCACACTACAGAAGCCGGGAAGACCGCGCCGCTGGATAGAGGAACGGGTAAGATGAAAGAACAACTCCACGGAAGTGGGAGCGGGTACCTGTCAAATTCAGGTACCTGCTCCCCCCCCCCCCCCCCCCCAAAGGTCAGCAGTCATCTCTATAAGGTCCCGCTGTAGAGCTGAGCGGCCGGCCCGGTATTCTGACACGGCGGCAGTGGAAATACCGGACCGGCCGCTCCATATTCGCTCCATAAGACGCACTGACATTTTCCCCCCCCTTTTTTTGGGGGAAAAAAGTGCGTCTTATGGTGCGCAAAATACGGTAATTTTCTTTTTAAAGTTCATTCTCCCCACTGTATCAGGCCAACAGAAACAGGGTAGGAGTACGGGACTGCACTACTATCCTACTGTTCGTAACATAATTGATAAAAAAAATGTGATAGCAGCTCTATGCCTATGCTGGCTGTCTTCACACTGTGGCCCTGGGGCCATATGTGGCCCTTTGCTTGCCTTTATCCTACACTTGAGGCATTATTCCTGCCACTGACACCACTAATGGCACCTCCCATTGGCACCAACTATTTCTCCCCCCTAATACCAAAGGTCAGGCATTGTTTACTCCCACTGGGCACAGCTGGCCACCCTAAAGTCTAAAGCACAGTAAATGGGACCTTTTTTTGGAAAGTTTGGAGACCCTGCCCTCGGTCATCAGTTTTAGAATTAAAGTGGTTCTAAAGTCAAGTAGATTTTACCTTAATGCATTCCCCTAAAAAACACTCCACTAACTGTTCTACCCTCCCTAAACATTTACCTGACTCCCCTCACCGCTCCAGTGCTATCCCGACAGGACACACTGAGAGACCCGGGAGAGCCGAGGCTCTTGTGCACATCACTAGATCGCGATGGGGCTCAGGTGAGTATTAGAGGGGGCTGGGGCTGCTCCACACAGGTTTTTACCTTCATGCATAGAATGAATGAAGATAAAAAACTTTACAACCACTTTTAAGTAGGCCCTCACAGTACTTGGTCATTAATAAATCTTAAATTGGCCATACACTATACGTTTTGTTTGTGCAATCTCCTTTTAGTTCTTCCATCAGTAATGTAGTGCAAGGGCCTTCCTGACTGAACACAAATTGAATGGATTGTTGTACATAGTTGGCCAGCCTAGAGGGGATTTTACAATCTGATAGTATAGTGTGTGGTCAGCTTTAAGGAGATTGTACAATCACACTGTATGTTATCAATATCATCACGTGTGTTCGTTTAAACATTTCATGGTATTGGACAGGAAATTCCTATTCAGTGTGCCCATGCAGGGCAAAGAAACGGGTTCACTTTGCAGAGCTGTGTAAATCTTAGGACTGTATGGACTGTTGGCAGGTATAGCAGTTCCCATTTATGTATTTCATCTTTGTATTTAGTTTTTTGGTGATTTCAGGAAGGATGTGAGTTAACGGCAAAGCAAACAAATGATTCGCAGATGCAACTCGTAGCTTTCTGGGTAATTGCCTGTCCAACCACATAAGAGAGACTTCATACAACTGAGGAGAGTGTTCATATAGCGCAGGAGAGTTTCATACATCAGAAAAGCTGGACATTGATGGGTAGAATTTCAAACAAAAATTCTCAGGAAAAGAATGTTCTTAGAAATTTTATTCATCTTTCTAAACAGTATTGGGTCAACTCGATGTACATTTTTGAGTGTAGTGACGAGAAAATTCACAGGAGCAGGATGGAAATGTTTTTTCTTGAATGAACAAATTTCTAACAGTGAATGTGGTTTTTCATTTGGTAAAGTCCATTCATTCATCTTTTGAACAACATTCGTATGTCCTGAAAATTTTCATACAAAATTTCCTATGAATTTTTT